GCTACTTGGGAGGCTGAGGCAGGAGAATAACCTAAACCCAGGAGTTGGAGGTTGCTGTGAGCTGTGATGCCACAGCACTCTACTGAGGATGATAAAGTAAGGCTCTGTCTCTACCCAAAAAAACCCCCAAAACAAAACAAAACAAAACAACAAAAATAAATGCAACGCTGAGGTGAGGGCAAAGATGGAGCACACAAGAGCAGAAAACGTATACCCAAGCAATGTCATTTCCCCCAGGTCAGAAGGTCAGTTTGTGAAATCTAAGAAAAGCAGTGATAGTCTACGGTGGCACTAAGGGAACCAGACTCAGATGAGCTGAGTCCAGAGACCATGTTGAAAATAAATGAAAATAACCAATAGGATTATGAGAAAGAGGTGTAGAAAGGGACCTGGGAGTGATGGCAACTCTACGGTGGGTGGAGAGGACGAGAGAGTGTCTGGAGAGCACAGGCAGCCTAGAGGCCATGCATGGACGTGGGCACCACAGGCCACATGGGCTTCAGACCAGCGGGAGATTGGTGCAGGGACATCTCCACAGCACCCAAAGCAGAATTTGGTCCCAACCTCCTAACAGGCACTGTTAAATCCATTTGGTCAATCCAAATGGACCATGGATTTACACAGAAAAAAGGAAACCTGAGCTGAATCAGAAGAAATGGGGACATAAGCATGGAGTGACTTAAATACATTATAAAACCTAGAAAGGATCAAAACCAAGGTCATAAACGTCTGAAAATATGTACGGCCCCCTCACAGAAAGACACTCAACACAGCAACCATGGTGGCAGAGGCCAGAGTCTCTGACCACAGTGCACTGGGATCACTCCCAAGGCTGCTGCTAAAACAGGAGCCGATGAAGTCCCCGCAGAGGCCTGGGACAGCACCTTCCATGTGACAGTGTCCTCCAGTGTGACAGCATCCTTCTGTGTGATAGTGTCCTCTGCGCGACAGCATCCTCCTATGTGGCAGCATCCTCCTATGTGACATCATCCTCCTGTGTGACAGCGTCCTCTGTGTGACAGCATCCTCCATGTGACAGCATCCTCCTATGTGACAGCATCCTCCATGTGACAACGTCCTCCTGTGTGACAGCATCCTCCTGTGTGACAGCATCCTCTGTGTGACAGCATCCTTTTATGTGACAGCATCCTCCTATGTGACAGCATCCTCTATGTGACAGCATCCTCCTGTGTGATAGTATCCTTTTATGTGACAGCATCCTCCTATGTGACAGCATCCTCCATGTGACAGCATCCTCCTGTGACAACGTCCTCCTGTGTGACAACGTCCTCTGTGTGACAGCATCATCCATGTGACAGCATCCTCCATGTGACAGCATCCTCTATGTGATAGCATCCTCTTGTGTGACAGCATCCTCCATGTGACAGCATCCTCCTGTGTGACAGCATCCTCCTGTGTGACAGTGTCCTCCTGTGTGACAGCATCCTCTGTGACAGCATCCTCCTATGTGACAGCATCCTCCATGTGACAGTATCCTCCATGTGACAGCATCCTCCTGTGACAGCGTCCTCCTGTGTGACAGCATCCTCCTGTGTGACAGTATCCTCCTGTATGACAGTGTCCTCTGTGTGACAGCATCCTCCATGTGACAGCATCCTGTGTGACAGCGTCCTCTGTGTGACAGCATCCTCCTATGTGACAGCATCCTCCATGTGACAACATCCTCCTGTGTGATAGCGTCCTCTGCGTGACAGCGTCCTCCTGTGTGACAGCATCCTCCTGTGTGACAGCATCCTCCATGTGACAGCATCCTGTGTGACAGCGTCCTCCATGTGACAGCATCCTCCTGTGTGACAGCATCCTCCTGTGTGACAGTGTCCTCTGCATGACAGCATCCTCCTGTGTGACAGTGTCCTCCGCGTGACAGCATCCTCCTGTGTGACAGTGTCCTCTGCGTGACAGCATCCTCCTGTGTGACAGCATCCTCCATGTGACAGCATCCTGTGTGACAGCATCCTCTGCGTGACAACATCCTATGTGACGGCATCCTCCTGTGTGACAGCGTCCTCAGCGTGACATCATCCTCCTGTGTGACAGTGTCCTCTGCATGACATCATTCTCCTGTGTGACAGTGTCCTCTGCATGACATCATTCTCCTGTGTGACAGTGTCCTCTGTGACAGCATCCTCCATGTGACAGCATCCTCCTGTGTGACAGTGTCCTCTGTGTGACAGCATCCTCCTGTGTGACAGTGTCCTCTGCATGACAACATCCTCTGTGACAGCA